ACAAAACTGAAGAAAATCCACATTGAAAAATCCAGGAAACCTTTCCGCAGGCATCTCTCTCTTTCTGTGTGTGTGTGTGTGTGTCTGTGTGTGTGTGTGTGTGTGTGTGTGTGTGTGTGTGTGTGTGTGTGTGTGTGTGTGTGTGCGCGTTGTCCTGTGAGACAGAGGGGAGCAGAGATAAGGGACGCTTTTGAAAACCTCACATGCCCTTTTCTTTAGCAGCCCAGCAGTGGCTGTTTATCCCCCGGTATGTTATCTCCAAAGTCTGCCTTTTTGGTGCTGATAAGCGGAGAAATCTTTACCCAACAACAACATAAAAGTCACATCGGATTCCCAACGGAAATACAAATATAAAGTTGCTTTAAATAAATGAGGAAAATGTGACGCTGCTCGAAGGTGTGGCCGGTATAAAACGCAATCGCGAAGGTAAATTTATGCGCTTTTAAATGGAATATCTTTGGTTCTGCTATCTTTAGAGGAAAAGAGCTTTACAGTGAAGAAGTGTTGCGAAAGAGTCCATTTCGAGGCTTGTGATTGGAAACGTTCTGGCCCCCTGACACAGCGCCTTGCCTGAGGCGGGCCGGTCTTCAGCTGCCTGCCTGACTGCTGATGTAACCCGAGGTCAGGAGTGAGCACAGCCCAGTGGACAGAACTCTCATTCTGAAAGCATCCCTGACGCCATCGGATTGCCTCTGTGTGTCTGGAAGCCTTGCAAGCCCAAGGCTTCCAGAAGTACGGGTTCAAAGTACGAGAGCTCGCCGCAGCTTTGTGTCCGGCTAACTCGCACTTCCACTTAGCTGATGAAATTCCCAGCAACCTCCAGCGGCACTGTCAGGCTTGGGACTTTGAGCGAAGGTGTTGCTTGGAAGGACTTTAGATCGCCCGCTCTCGACCTGCAGCGTTCCCTCCGTCACAATCAGAATCAGTTTTGTCCAAGCTTCCTGAGCTTCCTCCTAAACCCATCCAGCAGTAGCTGCTCTTCAGATGACTGGAGGGGCCGAGAACACAAGGAGTGAAAAACACAGGCACCAGTGTTTCGAAACAGGACTAACTCACCCCAACGTGAAGTGTCCATTACAGTAACCTGAGTGGTGTGAAATAAAAGCTTGGATTACAGTTTAAAGAGCTGACTGCATGGGGGGAAAAACAGGACTTTACAACAGCTCTAATTTAGTAAGAAATTGGTGTAAAATATGCTGGCAGTGGCCCCAAATCAACAATGATGAACCTGCAAGAGCCACTTGTTGCAAAAACAATGCAATTATGTTTTCTTTTCAATAGAATGTAATATGTTTAGGATCATTTATATCTGTATATTTATACGACATTAAATAAAAATAATATTTACAAATGTGCTCCCTATTTATTTTTGTAAACATCATATTGTCTTTAGACTTTGGCTGAGACACTAAAAGGTTTTTAATGACACTTTCGGTGCCTTGCAAAAGTATTCATACCCCCCTTTTTAATACTTCCTCACGTTATGACCACTTACCTCATTAAATTTTATTTCGACTTCCTTCCCCACGAGTACCTCGAAGGTCCTTGACAGCCTTTTTAAAATATATTAGCCGGTCCCCCAGAGCCGGTCTCTGCATATTTTAGGTGTTTCTCTGCCCCGACACACCTGAATCAAATAAAAGGCTCATTAGCAAGCTACTTCAGAACCTGATGACATGCTGAGAAAGTAATTAGGATTTTTTCTTTTCTTTTTTTGAATCACCTGTCTTGAAGTGAGGGACACGTCTAAAACGCGCGGGGCGGGGGCCTCTTGAGGACCGGAGCTGGCAGCCCATAATATTACCCATAAAACCTCTCATCCTGCACAGACGGCGCTCTTTAATCTTCAAACTGCTTGGATGTTATTATGATCCGGAAGTGTTGTCTCAATATCTTAATGTGTGGAATATCTCCTTTGTGACTGACTTTATTTTGCAAATGTAATCACTCAAAAAGCTTTTTTAAATTTTTTTATTTTAACTAAATGATTACATGTTTAGAGTAGGAAATAAGTAGCCCATTTGTGGATCCCCTTGACATTTGCATTGGCAGCGTTGATAAGTGATGGCAAAAAAAAAAAAACTACTAAATAACACTAAACTAAAGGAGAACACAGCCTGTGGTGCATGTTGGCTATTGCAGCGTGCCGAACTGGCACTCTGGATGTGAACTTCAGCTGTGGGTCGGATGATAAAAAAACAACAGGGTTACATTTTGAGTCGGGCGTCTTACACGGCCAACGTGGGTTTTGTTATTTTCGTTCTGCAGCATGTCTAATCTGAAATAAAATCATCTTAAAAAGAATCTTTGATCTCAGTGACTAAGTAGTTACTTTTTTTTTCTCATAGTTAAGTTTTGTTTCATTGTGACTTTTTGTTTGTCTAATTCAGTTAGTTTGTAGACTGTGTTTTCTAGTTTTTATTAGTTGTTCCTAGTTAAATGGCTGCTACTCTTAGTTTATTTTTCATGCTTTGGTTGTAGTTGTAGAATTCGCAAAGGTCCAAAGTATTGCACTGTAATTATGTGTACAACTGGGTAATGGAGACTCAACAGAAGATACCATTTCCAAAAAATGTATTCAATAATTGTTGAGTAACAACTGACCGACGTTTTCTTTCAACTTTTGCTCTCGCCATTTTGCAGGCCAGGATAATTTTCCGACAGTTGATGGAAATAATTTTTGTGGCAGGAAAAACAAAAAAAAATTCACAACAGTTTGAAAGGCTGATAAATAAATTCATAAACACAGTATATTATATCTGTAATTTCAATATGTCTTAGTTTTATAAAGGTTCACTATAGCTCCAGTTGTTTTTTGTTTTTTTCCCATTCCTTACCATTTTTATTTACTTCAGTTTAAGAAAATTGATTTCTTGATTTCAGTTTCCGCTATTTTCTCATTTTTTGTTTACTATAATAACCTTGTTACCAACATGTAGTGGACGCGTACATCTGTATGTCCACCTGGACACCAGTCCTGAACAGCTCCTTTGACTCTACGGCTGCATCAGCCAGTTTCTGCAAGTTTTCCAGCGAAGCAGCAGTTTGTCGACAGCTCAGAGGAAGCGCTTAGATTAGCTCATGAGGAAAAGCAGCTCTGTTGTGGGGGGACAGAAGACCCCAGGCAGGTAGAAACATCACGGTGGTTATTTATTAGTTTGTCACTGAGCTCCTGCAGTGACAGACCGCTGCATCCTCGCCGCACAAAGTAGAGTTATTGCGGATCCGCACTCTCAGCAGCTTTTAGATTATTTACAGCTGTTTTTTATTTGTGTTTTTTAATGCTCAAATACATGTTTTTTTTAAACTATTAAACTCTGTTTCACTTTTTCTTTAAATCTAAATATGTTTAATAATTAAACAGTATTTTTTTCTGACACTTTACATTTTAATAGTGTTTTTTATTTTCTTTTAGGTGTTTACCTGTATGCGACTGCATGCTTCCACTTTGCCTGTCAGTTTGCTGTTGGTCTGCAAATTTTACAGACAATATAGGATATTTATATTCTATTCTTTCCTGTTCTGACATTACATTCCTTCTTCTTTTTTCTTTGCCATAAAAAAAAAAAAAAAAAAATTTTCACACAGAACACGATGAAGTATGAATTACGTCTGCTAATTGCTTGCCACAAAGAAATACGATTTCTACCCAAACGGTGATGCTGGACTGCTGTCACGTTCAGCACTTTGGTGAAAGTCAAAAATATGTCTCCGTCCGTTTGTGTGAAATTATCCGGGTTTAAATTTCCATCAAAGGTTTTAAGCTGCCAATGTTTTCATGTGTGACTGAGTCAGGGCCACCTCTTCTGTTGCCTAGTAACACTGACATTATAAGGTACTTTGTTTTCATCACTCCAGGCCAACATGCATGCTGCCCACACAGAAACGCTAAGAGTTCAGTCTCCTCGGCCAAACTCTGCAGAAGCTAAGAGCGCCCGGAGGATTCACAGTGCTGAAGGGTCAGTATGTTCTGGATGTCAGGGGTGGTCAGGCGGGGGAGGGTTTAAAACCTACTTCCTGGCTGACAGGAAGTCCAACTTCCTGCCTTGATTAATGGGGGGGGACTGTGGGATCACACAGAGCTACAGAGAGAGGGGCCTCCCACACACAGAGCCTTCCACATTTCACCTTGAGTGTCAACCCCCTCTTTCTTTGTTTAGTTTTTTTTTTTTTTTATTCTCTCCGGCTCTCACGGTGCTTGAGAAAAGCAGGACTAAAATAGCCCAAGCTTGGATCTCAGCAGCTTATTGCACCATCTCGAAAGGCACCGTGATTTGTCAGAGACGAAAACAGATTTCCCAAAGCGCCGAGACTCCTGATGGCAAAAAAAAAGAAAGAAAGAAAAAAAAGGAGTGGATCTTGTTTGCTCGGGGGGGTCACGGACGAGTAAAACCGGTGCTTCTCGAACACGTCTCGTCGGTCAGGAGTCGACTACTGGCGACGAACGCCAACAAGCGAACGGGCTCCTCTCCAGCTGCAGGAATGTGGCGTGATTTGAAGTCGCTCACCAACCAACAGGAGGATGATGGACCTGCTGAGAGACGCAGACTCCATGCCCTGCAATGCCTTGCACTGATAGGGAAGGCTTTCCATTGGAGGGGGAGAAGAGGCAGAGGTGCTTTTTTAAGATTTCATGTCGTCCTCAACCCCCCACCTCCTTGCAGATAAAGGTTGCCGTTGCCAAGGTGACTTGGCAGAGAAAGGGAAAGTATCTGGCTGTTTTTCAGCCGTCCTTGTGCTGGGGAAGCTTAGAAGCCAGAGGCATAGATAAGACTATTTCGATCCCTCCCTTTTCGGCGGAACAAAACCTGTACGCATGATATAGTGCCCTAAATACCTCAAGACACTTCGGCCCATTTGAAAGCTGCCTAAATATGCGAGACATGCGGTAATGAGCGAGTTGGAAGCTGCTTTCGCCTGCTAAATCGGCGTGGTGACATTAACACGCGCAGACAGACAAATCGCCTCCGTAATGAAGAAACCGAGGCGGAATGTTACAGTCAGGAGGAAAAGACTCTTTATGTTTATTAGCCATGAGTTTCACAGTGTGAAAACAAAAGAAAAGAATCAAATGTAACAGAATAAAAAACAGAAAGGAAACTTTGAGAGAAATCCCATGCACACTGACAGAATCGTCCCGTCTCGTTTCCGACTTTTTGTGAAAGCTCAAGAAGACGAGAGAAGAAGGAAAAAAAAAAAGAGTCTGTGGAAATGCCGCTCAGCAATTAGGTGCAAATTGAAGGGGCATTCATTGCTGGCTGTTGCCAGGGAGACTTGTGTGTGGCGGGAGGGGGAATAAATATCCTCATCTGATTGGTTGGGTTGGAGTCTCTTAATTCAGCAGTTGGATGTGGTGGACGTTACAGAGCCACAATGGTCCCCACACACAGGTCTTCAAATTCACAATAGGAAGAATTTTCTGAATGGCCGAAGGAAGGAAGGCTGAGCGGCACTTTACTGGGGGCTAATTTCCACTGGAAGTTAATGGAAAGTGGGATGTGTGGGGGTCTTAAAGGAAGAAGAGCTGAAACAAACTATACCAATTCCACCAAGACAGAATCTTTTACAATGTGAATGAATTTGACAATGCAAAACCGCAACATGTTTAGGTCACCGAGACAGACAAACAGACACAAACATTGAGAAGATGTTAGCGGACATGTTAAGACTTTTGTTGCTGCTGATTTTTTATTTTTTATTTTTTGTTTGCAGAAACTTGCTTCACTGAATGTGTTTTGTTTTTTTTTAATGGTGAAAAGCACTGCGGTGTCTGCCCTTGACGTTACACAGCATTCGGAGCCAAACTCAAACAGCTAACGGGGCGGCGGGTTCTCACTCTGGGGGAGCCGAGTTGACACGTGTCGCACGGCCTCTGCTGCAGACACTGCCAAATTCTTCACCACGTCCGGGTCGATCTGTCATTGTGCCATCCGATCTTTTCTTTTGGGCCTTTATTATTAGCAAGAATATGAAGGTTGGGTTTTTGTTTTGTTGTGTTTTTTCTTTCAATTTCGCCTTGTTTGGGTCTAGATTTGGGCTGGTGCGAGTTTCTACCCACAATTTCAAAAAAGATACCAGATTACCTAATTATCTAGGAATAGCAACGTTAGCAAGTGCTGCTAAACAGCATGTTTAAAGAATGAGAATGTTATCTTCAATTTTTAATTTACCGATGTGCAGATTCTCGTTGAAAAATGTACGTTGAATATATAAAAACCACTGTCTTCCCTGCAACTGAAGGGCAAGAAACTAGCCTGCAGCCCGCTGCTAGTCCCGCCATGAGACGCCAATTGCAGCTTTCAAATGATAATTTTAACATTTTGACAGACGAGGAAAAAAAATTCAAAACTGCCAAATTTGTCTGTTTTAGCAGGTTTGATGGAGGTGGGTGTTAGCCTTTTCAAGCAAGCTGACCTTTAGCGTGAACCGCAGGTGGTGCGATACGCTGGCATTTTATTAAAGGGCCTTTAAAACAAAGAAAGGGAAAAAAAATCTTGATTTTTTTTTTCTGCGGTTTTCTAAGCAAAACCTTCTCATGTTGGAAGTTGATCCCAGTTTCCAGCATATTCCCAAGTGAATGCCCCATCTTACGATGAGCAACTCTTTCTGTGATTTAAGTCTCTCTCTTTTTAAGCCACTTGAAAGGAAGTGAGCAGCGAAGCTACGTCTTGAAAAAAGCAAGTTTCTCCTGGCAAAGACCGAAGTGTGCAAAAGGCAGCTCACTGAGACCAAATAAAACACAACACTTGGCCATGCACGACATAACCCAAACGTACATTCACATCTGAATGCAGGCAGAACAGAAATAAATAGGATTAAACATATTAACATGACACAGTTACCAGTACCATATAAATTAAGACTACACTGCAGCAAGTTCAAGAAGAAACAGATGTTTTTTCAAAAGAGAATAATAAATTCAGCTTTTTGTGTTAAGGTGACAAGACTTTGTGAAGGGTACATGCCAGTTGTCACTGAACCACTGTGAGAGAACATGCGCGAAAAAGGGTTTCGGCGGCGAGTCGGCAAGCGAGCCGGCGGTACCGTTGGGAGAAAACCATGTTTTACGGCGTCGCCGCTGAGCTGCAGAATCCAAACACGGGCGTTAACGCGTCAGCGGCAAAACGCAGGACACATAAGGCCGTGACCTCCAGGCACACGCAAATCCCATTGATCCGCCTCATGAGTGGCGGCGACAGGAACGTTTTTTTAAGAGAAATGCTCAAGTTTTTGCTTATTTTTCTGAGTCTGGAGCATAAATTAGCTGTTAACAGTCCAAAACAAACAAACAAGCAAACAAAAAACAAAAACAGGGAAGATTTGCTCCTTCATTTTTTCCTTGTATGAATCAGATATTCAGTCAAAATCCATTGATTTTGTTCTTTTTCAGTCAAACCGAAGCATTTGTCATGCTATATATACATATATATATTTATATATATATGTGTGTGTGTATGTATATAGCTATAATTTTTTTTGTCATAGAGAAAACTTCACAGATCGTCACAAGCCTGTTATGACTACATATGAAGAATGCAGCTTTTCATGATATGTTTGCAGCACTCCTATGGCAGCATGAAAGCACAATGTGCACACAGGGTCAGAGTCTGTGCCTCGCAGATCAAGCGTCGGTCAGTTCGGTGTCTCAGAGCAAGATGTCCGCCTTCCTCGACGCCACCTTTGGGTTCTCTGCTCCTGCATGTTTTGTCCTTTTTGTTTATCATCTTCTCTCTTTTTTTTTTTTTTTTTTGAACATTTTTGAAACACCAAGATGAATGCGGGGCATCTGTACATCGCTTGCGTAGCGTCTCTTTTTGGAGAAAGAGAATATGTGCTTCTTCGTGGCCCGGAGACCGGCAGATGACGCAAAACCGGGAAAATCTGAGGAGAGAGAAGAGAAACTCGTTAAACAGGCCAATAAAACGGATGAGGGAAAGTATAATAAAAGCAACAAAAAGTAAAAAGGATCAGATTTACAGATGACCTGAAAAATATGTCGTTTCAAAGAACTGCAGTGGAGGAATAACAGCAGTGCAAAAGAGTACCTCTGGCTTAATTTACGCTGAGAGAAAATAAAAGAAATCAAATAAAAAGAAAGTGTCTTTTATTCACATCCTGTGATCTACAACAGTTGAGAGAAACAGCAGCCTTAATGTTCACTATGGTTTTACGGGCGATAAAACCCAAGGGAAGTGATTAATTTCAGTTCATGTTACATTACAATACATTGTGGCGAGTCTAGCATTATTTTCTGCCAAACTTCCCCCAACTCTGTTTCCTGTGAAAAGTCTGGCTCGCATCCAGCTCCTCATCTCCTCAGGAGCTCTTTTCACTTTTAAAGAATTTATTTATTATGTACCTTATCTCGACAGCTCATATGGTTAAAATCGTGATGGCTAACATGACTAAAATGTATTTGTACAAATCTCTCTATTACTGGTACTTCAAAAATATAAATTAGTATTGACCGAGTATGTTATATGTAAGATTTCCTTAGCTTAAAACGTGAATAAACAGTAGTTGCGGAAGGACGTAAAGAACTAATTTCACCTGCACGTCTTGGATAAACAGAAAGAAAATGTTAGGATGCCACAAAGTCAAAAATCAACAGATTTCTGACATTTTAGAACAACTCAAGTCTTGGCAAAGAAGGTGCGATGTTTATGTGAACACTGTTTTCTTAACCTTTAAATCACCAAACTTTTCCATCAATTCAAATCGCTGGTGGTACTTTAATGGTCCTCAAAACATTTTTTGATGTCACTCATCTAAAAGATAAATAAAATACTAATCAACAGCCAAAAAGTTGTTGAAGTAAATTGATTTTTATTTATTTCCAATTCTTCTGCAGTCAAATGTCTGGTACTGTGTGTGAAAGTTGCAAACTGAACTAAAAACAATGTATAACAGCAGCTATTACTATATGCAGTAGCCATATTGGATTGATAGGCTGGGGTCAGGGAGAAACTTCTGACTTTTTCAGCTTCAGAGCACTTTCTGCAGAAATCGTAACCATAGATTGATTTTGGCAGCCAGTTTATACCACACCTTCACCTTAACAACATGTGACATAGTTTGTTTTTTTATAATGAGCATTCATTTTATTTATTTGCCCTGTCCCCAGTTATGTAAGGTAGAAGAACATTGTTATTTCCCTGGATTTTATGATGCCATCTGTCGCCACTGAACTACACAATTTCTAAGAGACAAATCTAGAAAGGAGAAACTCTCACACAGTTTGTTATTGTTCTCCTGGGAAAAAACTCAGAGCATTTCTGTTTTCTTTCTCTAGAAAATGTTTCAGATCAAGAAGGGAAGGAATATTACAACCCAGGAGCGGCAGAGCTGTTCTGAGCCGTTTCCTAACTTTATCAGAGGGAAGACACAAGCAGAGCTAAGAGAATGAGGAGTCTCTCCGCTTTCTTCTTCTTTAGGCCTGTCAAAGCATTAGGAAAAATTAAAAAATATGAAGAAGAATTGCTTGCACAGCTTCTTACTGTGTGGGGGCATTGGTCTGGGAATTGTGCAAACATAAAGATGAGGAATGTGAGCTCACTACCCATGCTCCACATACGTCTGGCCTGCTTATCGTCAGAGCAGGAGTGCTGGGTTAGAATGAGGTCATCAAAAGAGCAGACAAAATGGTAAATCTTCAGAGTAAAATAACAACCATCAAGGATGATGTGTGTGTGTGATTGAGTTGTGAAGGACGGGGTTTGTGCCTGCAAGCTCTCCAGCTCCACTTCCTGACTTCCCCTGCTGTCGCTTCTCTCAGTCACCTATTCTTGTAGCTGATGATAAACGGCTTCCGACGCGAACTGCAAGCTACCTCCCTCTTTTGCAATGTAAAGACCACAGCCCTGCCGCCCCCATCAAAGGTCCGGAGCCTGGAGTGGTGTGAGGGAACTGAGATTGGATTAGTGACAGCAGGGTTTTGAAGCTCGGTGATGTGTGGTACAGCTAATTTGCGAATCCTTTTTTCTTCAGAGAGTTTCTCCCCCACGGGAGCTATAAAGGTATCCAATTCTCTTTCAGTTACCCTTTCTGTCCTTCGGCCTTTCCAAACAGTCACATACTTCAGTTAACTGAAGCACCAAAGTACTTAACAGGTTTCCCAACTTTACTCTTGATCTTGTTTTACTAACACAACCCCAGCCTCTCGCACATTCTGAAACAGGCACAAGAAATAGGATCCGACCTAAAGCACTGGCATCAACTCAACATTTTGGAACATGAGGATTGAAAGGCCCTTTCTTATTGTAACTCTTGTTAGTATTAATTACTGGTTGTCCAGAGATCCTAAATTAGATCTTAGTGGGTTTAAATGCTTAGTAGACAGTCTAAGACACTGCTCTTACCTAATGGAGAAGGTACAGGTCAACGGTTCAGGATTTAAGCTGGTAGATGTTTCCAGGTGCTGACAAAGGCAGTAGGAATGAGTGAGTACGGAACAGTTGTGATGCTGTTCCATGCATCGAGTGTGGGGTCGTAGCAGTCCAGAGTTTTACACCGCTGTGTACCAAAGTACCCGCCCACCACGTACAGTTTGTTTCCCGATGCCACAGCCTGGCAGCTCATCCGCTTGGCCGTTACGTCCCCCACTTTAGTCCACTGGTAGTTCTCGCTGCTGAACTTGTAAGCCGAGCAGGCTGAGAATTCGGTATCCCCGCCCATGACAAATATTTGGTTCCCCAGCACGGCAGCGGCGGTGTAACGCCACGGCTGTGGGCAGGATGCTGGCACAGTCCATCGGTTTTCCTGCGGATCGTAGCACTGCACCTTGGGCAGTTTGTCGTGGGTGACGCTGGTTCCACCGAAGGCAAACAACTTGAGTTTCACGCTGACCACTGCCGCATTGCTCACACCCTCTCTGAGAGGTGCCACCATGGTCCATTTGTTTGCCACTGGGTCAAACTGTTCCACTTGTTTGAGGGACACGGACGGAGAGGCCGGGAGACAGCCCGTTGCCGCGGTGTGTCCTCCAACAACATATAGGCAGTGTTTCAGCTCCGCGGAGCCATGGCCAAACCTGGCGATGAGCATAGGTGCTGCTTTGGACCATTCCTCATGCACAGTGTCGTAAACCCATACGTCTTTGGAAACGCCGTTCTCTGATCCTCTCCCGCCTGTGATGTACACCTTACAGCCAATGGCACAGGCACTGAACTCCTTTCTGGGACTGGGGATGTCAGCCTTCGGGATTATCTCTTTGGCTTTCTGGTCTACCAGGTACAATTTGTCACACATGAATGTCTGTCCGCCAAGCAGGAAAAGGGCATGGCTGGTTTTTCTAGGTCGAGCACATGGGCTGTTGACCACGCCATCATTCTGGAGGATCTTCAGCTTGCAGCGTATGGCTTCATCAACCAGTTCTTTGCTTTTGGCCTGATCATTAATCAGCTCTTCTGTTGAAACATTCTCCATTAGAAAGATGGCAGGCAGTAAGGCGAGACGAACTGTTCTCAGAAGCTCTGGGAGGTAGCAGTGCCTCTTTTCTAGGTCATAGTTAATCCAATTAAGGGCAGCTTCATAAACCAGTCTCTCATCTTCTGTCTCCAGCTCCTCATGCGACAGAAGCTGCACAACCATATCTTTGGGCAATTGGAGAAAGTCCTCGGTCTTGCAAATGGCAGGGAAGTTGCTTAGACACATACCCCAGGAGAGCTCTGACAGCTTCGTACACTGGTGGGCGTCAGACAGCAACAGCATGCCAAGACAGTTGGACGGATGAAGGTTTCTCTCCAGGAATTCGGCGCAGGCATCGCGGATGTCCTGAAACTCCAACATGTCCCCAGCCTCCAGTAGTGACTCTGCATTCTCCTCGTTGATCACCACCCGTGATGAGTATGCGTAGTCAAGCAGCAGCTCTAAAACCTCTGGGTGGATCGAGTCTCGGAAGTCGACCTCACTGGCCTGACTCTCCCTCAGACCGCCACTGAACATGGCCTCGAAGTAGCGGCTGCATGCGGCCAGCACGGCGCGGTGGCAGGGGAAGGAACGGCTGCCCGCGTGGAGGAGGACGTCGGTAAAGAGCCTCTGCTGCCGTAGAGAGTTGAGGTGCATAAGGACGCTGTCAGCGTAGGAGGATTTGTGGAAAAGGTAGATGTTCATGGAGCCGGTGCTGGCTCGGGATTTCCGATTCTCATGGACGCACACTGACATTTTCATTGAATCCTGAAAAAAAAAAAAAAAAAAAAAATGAATGCAACATATTTAAAATCTATAAGAACAGATATAAAACACATTCTCTTTTACTGTAATACATTTTAGGCAAGTCTCAATCTTTTAAATCATGTATTTATATTTCTTGTGGCAATAAACTTGGGAAAAATATTACTAGAGAATAGATTATCTTCATATGCAAAGTGATACATATGCAGATTGATCAGCTACTAAAGTAAGCCAAATTTGCCTCACAAATGTAATTCTCAGCAGTGAATGCTGCACATGCAAACACTAGGAGGTTGATGTGGCAATTTTGAATCGTTCAGTGCTAGTGTCCATAAAAGGATGAGAAAAAATGCACTTTCTGGAAAAGGGAAAACAAAGCTCTATCAGGAAAACAGTAGAGATAGAGACTGCATCATGTACACAGTGTGTCCTTGGCCAAGGACATAGCAACAGTATTCTTTAGAAATTATCGCTGAACATTTCTGAAGAGAAAACTTTAAAACATGCAACAGTTTGTTTTTCAAAGAAAAGTGTGAGCTTGCATCTTCGTCGTAATCACCCTCACTCACAGCATGCTTTCATTCCTCCAATTATTTAGCAATGGCAACTGCCTCCTGCCTTGTGGTCTCTCTGTATTGCAACCAAGTCCCTGTGTGAGCTCGTAAATCCACATCAAAAAAACATCCACATTCTGTGTCTGCCCTAAAATCCACACTCCTCAATAAATTTCACACAATCTCGCACTATTCCATGTATCGCATAAGCTCTAAAATCGTCCTTTCCGAGCTTCGAGTTGATCCAGCTTGCTTGTTGTTTCCTTATTGGCAGCCAGCAGCTGCAGTGGGCGGTCGGCTCCCAACCTTCCAGTTACCGGGAATTCCAAGGATTCCAAACATTGAAGGCAAAAGACGCTCGCAAACATCCATGAAAACCTTTTCTAAACACCTGTGAGGCATGATGCATTTCTCCCTCTGCGCTCCAGTTTTCTGTTTACTTGACTGAAAATGTGAGTGCCCTCTGAACCCTTTTTTAAAAATTCAATTTTACTGTGCCAAATATTGGTGGTTTTTTTACGATGACATACGATGACTTTGCATCAGTCATGCAGTAAGAATAAGGATGCTTTATATTTAATCCAAGCATAGAGCCTTTTTGATATGACAGTATTTGCATATTAACTATGACTATTTTGATGTTTCCTTGTTCAGTTACAGGTGTCGTCCATCACATGTAAATAAAAGAGTTAATGGAATGATTCAGGATTTTTGAAACGAGGTTCTGTTGAAGGCCTATACGCAGTTACTATCTCTCCTGGCATCTTCATTTAGAATATATCCATATTTGTCAGTAATGCAAGCAAAAAAGCTAAAGGCTAGTATGTGAAAGTCCTTCTACCGTCTCAAAACATGCCAAATATTAATAAGGTTACGGAACGTAATGCATTTCTATGAGCCTTTATACCACAGTGCTGCTTGCAATGATAGTTGACACCAAAGTAAATGGTTATTTACACCGGAAATGGATATTGGAGGTTGGGTGAATGAAACATCAAAGCAATCACATGGATGTTCGACTGAAGTTCTCCAGATTCAACCCTTTGCCAACATGTTCCCCCATTTCATACCTACAAGTTTTTTTCCCCTTTCATCTTAAGAATTTTAATTAATTATTGAGATAAAAAGGTAATAAAATGCTTAAAGAACAACAGAAAATCTTTAATTAGAGGGGCACAGAATGTAATGCTGGTGGGTATGAATGGACATATGTGCAACAGTGGGCTTTACTCTGACCAAAATACTTGCAGATTTCACCCCGGAAGAGTACTACTACCTTCATTTGTCAATAACATATTCATTCTGTTTTGTGAAAAATAGTGCAATCATGAGGATAAGACAATGTTTTTATAGATACTGTGGCAATCTATAAGGGGGTTGGAGGTTGGAGCTTAATAAATGTGGCAAATGTCTGTTTTAAGTTTGGCTCCTTTCCACCTTGCAGGTAGAGTTAGCCTCCAAAACCAGCTAAACTGGATTAATACTAAATGAAGATGCTAACAGGCAAACCTTTGTAATGTCTAATATTTTACTGTTTATAGCATTTTTTAACAGATCCTTGATAGGAAAGACCCTGAAATATCCCTTTAAGTTCTGTCAGAGGGCAGACGTTGTACAAACCTGTCGATGGTGAGGGATTTTACATTCGCAATAGATTTGAGTTCAAAAGACCTCGTTTGTCAAACGAGATTCCTCCTGAAGTACAGAGAGGCGAGGGGACAGTTTCCAATTTCCATAAGTTGCATCATGCGCTTAAGAATCCTCAGAATGCAGTCTTGTGAGGAGGGAAATCAAGTGTGAAGCCTGTAGGTACAAGCTTCACACTTGAGGATTTGTGAAGAGCACTGTCACTTCTACCTTTGGCTTTAGGTCTCTGTGAATTCTGAAGGAATCGCTTTGAACTCCCGCTTTGATGTTCATGACGCACAAAGAAGTAATTCTCAGCGTTGGCTGCAAGCGTTCTTCCTTAGCCACAGTTTGTCAGTTTCTTTATATTGCCCCTTTTCAGATCACGGTCGTGATCGCGGCCTCACACGCTCGCTGCGTGATTTTCATCTGGTCGATTTACCTAACAAACCTTTGGTTTCATGCTGAACTCAAATGACTTGCGAAACCAAATGAGGGAGCCTTCCCAACGGCTTGGTAAACCGACTCTCTTTGGTACACTGTGTTTGTGTGCGTTTCGCACAGGGAGCACCAGCATTATTTGTCAGCAGTTTATGAAACATAAAACCGACTGGTAACTTCGCTCAACAGGCTTTATTGCATTCCAGCACAGACATGACCGGGGCACACGTCATCTCCTGGAATCAGCGATGATTGGAATATCCTCACCTGGTCTCTCAACTGCAGGTGCCACCTCCTACATCAGACGCACACACCCACACGCGCGCGCACACACACACACACATGCATACATGTACACACTCCGTCTCTGCTTCTCTAATTGGAAGTTGTAAGTAGCTTGATTTGAGTAAGCGAACCTAATAAGTCCGGGACTTAATTAGAGAGGTTCTGCTTATGCTATTAATTAGCATTTTAATAAATATGGCCATCCATAGTTCATGTCAGAAGCACAGAAGCAGACAGGCAGAGAAACGACTTCAGGAGGAACACAGCTGCAGCTCATATGATTAACTGGACAACAATAATCATGTGTAACGATGATAAAGGTAAAAGATTCCAGCATGAACATGTTAAACTAAGTCATTCTGCGGTAGATTATATATTTTTTTCCTATCTAGTCATAGTAGCTGTCACTTTGGTCCTCGAGTTTTTCTTATTATTTTTTTCATCTTTTCAGTCCCAGTGCAAGCGTTAATTTGTGTTTTAGGCCAGTATTTTACAGTTTTTCATCCTATTACTATCACTCTTCATGTAACTGTGATTGTGTTTTTATGACTTTTTTTTTAAAATCTGCTTTAAATTGGTGCCTTAGTTATGGAAGCCAGGTTTGTTTCATTGTCATTGTGAAACTCTTTGATTCGCTTTATGCATCTTTTATGGCTATGTTTTCCATTTCTAAGCATTTTTTGCTATGTTTTATAATTTTCCTTATTTATGCCACAAAGGGCATCTTTGGGATGATCTTGGGGTCATTTATTGTGATATGTCTTTATCATCTAGCATTCTGAAATGTCTTGCAGCTGAAATGTACTATGCAAATAAAAGTGACTTGACATAAACTTTAATATACTCAATTTTACATATATTTATGTCTCATTTGTGCATATTTAATTTTTCTTCAATGTTATCCTTGATGTGTCTTTTTTCTATAGCAGATATATTTAGCTTTATGTGCCCCCAATATATCACATGTCAAATGAAAGGAGAGCTAGTGATCACACTGAAGGTGGGAGAAAAAAAACCACAACTGAGAATTTGCATCAGTTAATAAACCCAAACAGACAGTGATAACATATAAATGTCAGCATCACTGCACTTTGACTAAGTAACCTTTAGCTTCAGTATCTCGCCTTTAATTTCCACTGCGCAGTAAATTTCTCTACGAGCTGACCTTGTCGCGGCTCAAAACATTAAAACATCTTCACGACAAAATGCAACATGGCCTTTTTCTCAGAACTGCTAACAATCTAATCTGCTGTCCAAATGTTTGTTTGCTTGAGTGGAAGAATTTCAAAATGTTCTTGTTTTAACATCCCTATTGTATTCCCTGCACATGACATCCAGTCCTGTGTAACTTGTTTTGGATCAAACGGTCTGCGGACCATGCAGACTGGCGCAACACTGCTTACAGTAGAAATTTAGCCCTCTTCAAACTG